TTCCCTGTGGGACGATAACTCACTCTTCACAATTATTACTTGTACAACGAACTCGTACGCTTGCGAGATTTTTGTGTAACAACGACCATTCAATGACATTATGTTCATCTGTCTCTTCACAATCCAAGATCACAAGGTCATTTTTTACGCACTACATCTACTTCAGAACTTTCTCTCAACATCAAGTCTTAGCTTCCAAACATTAGGATAGACAACCTAACTTCTCTATGAACCTTTCATCTCCATAAGTTTTCTTAGAACGAGGTGTATCTTCTGAAAAATCGAAATGAAGTAATGATTTTTATCATTTTAAAGGAATGTGCAAATCTTTCACATCCTCCTACAATGACAAAATGATAAATATCTTCCCTAGCCCCTGTTTGGTGGCAACTTTTTTTGGAAAAACATTATTTTAAATAGTGATTTTTTAGGAATGTGCGGTTAAAAAGTAGGAATAAATTTTTGGTACACGTGTGAATAATTTATTGTGTAAATGTGTGGTTAAAAATGAGTACGTAGAAAAAAGAGTTTTAAAAGAATGAGAGACAAACATGGGCATAAAAAGATTCTCAAGGGCATATCTCTTTCCAACTTCCATGGTTCGGATATTTCTCTGAGGAATATATACATATCCTCATTTAATGGACTCGTTATTGGCTCGGGTAACATGAAATTGCAGGGCAAGTCATCAAAAGATTTTTCCTGATCTCCGATCATTGTAGTGCTATCAATATATTTGATTGCATGATCAGAGGCATTTATGTTTATCTCATCCTTGGCAATTTGAAGCGTTCCACAATTTTCTTCCAATTCTCGACTATTTATTGAATGAAGAATACACACATCCTCTCTGACTGCTCTCTTCAAGTAAGAGAGCAAAATTCTGGCTGAAGTTGAATCTTCGAATTCACCTTCAGCCTCATCATGATTACTTTGAACAGGTGCATTTTGGCGATGATGGGAAAATTCCTTCAACAACTGTCTACCATTATCGTCCTCTGTTAATCTATCAGTGTCATAAAGACATAGTATTAACATCTTCAACAAGGCCTTGAAAAAGAACTTGGTTACTGTCTTCCATTAATAAAATATGCAAAGACAAGTATCCCAATCTGTTTTAAGTTTTCTAATCTCTTGTTTCATTTCACAACTCGTAATTTTTTTAGTCTCAGTTCTTCCTTCAGGCAACAGGTAACCTCAATTGAAATTCGTATATCTAAAATGTCCTTTTTATCTCCAAGATTGTGTTTTCTTTTGCAAAGATTGTACAATCTTGTGATGACATCTTCTATCCTCATTTCTATGTTCTCAGAATATCCGTCCATCTTTCCCAAAAAAGAAGTTCAGAGCACTTCTTGTGCCAGAACATCCCACTCTTTATGCTGTTTTCGTATAATGAACTCATGATTATGTATTGTTATAAACAACGAAGAAGGTACCGAATTGCTCTGATACCAATTCATTGTAATAATAGGTGAAAAAAGAAAATATGGTACAATAAGAAGTAATTGATCACAAGAACACAAAAACAAAATAATTTGTATAGTAAATGAGATTTCACTAAAATATAACGAAAGAATACAATGATTTTACGTTTACAAATTTGTCTAAATTTTAATGAGGTTAAACAACCTATCTAACTTGTAAAGAAGAGCCAAATATATATATAAGGGATGTTTCAAGCCCTAAAAGTAAAGTTATATATGGAAATGACTGATCAAGATAAAAATGTGAAAGAGGCCTAGGCCGATTGTACATGTCCCTCAAGCTCCATGCGAGAGCCAAGTGTGTGGCAGCTGCGCCTCTCTAGTGACAGGTGGGCGCCAATGTTCTGCTGATTATTTGACGACATCGCTCGAGCGCCATTGCTAGCAGCCAACGAGCGAAAGTGACTTTTTCTTCTTGGTCCATAATTTGATCTTTTCAAGTCCAACATAAATTCCAACTCTCAATTGGACTTTCAAATAGAATTTCAATTTGAATAGAATTTGAATAGGATTCTAAAGTAGCATTTTCAAATAGAATTCTTCTCAAGTCGACTTTAATTAGAATTCTCAATTATGTTCCAAATAGAATTTGGGCCATACCTTAATTCTAACAAACTTTACCTTGACATGAATTCCACTACAATGAGTAAACTTAAAAAATTCTTCACCTAGAGACAAATTCTACTATAAGAAATAAACTTCAACTCTTCAACAAAAAATAAAAATAAAATACAAACGGAATTCTCCATCAAAACTTCCAAATGAAAATATTCTCCAAAACTCTACCACCAAACTAGAGCAAAACTCAATAACTGAGTATTAATAAAATTCCAAGCACTGGGCTTGGACATTACCAAACAAGGTAGAAACAAGCCCTGAAATGGAATCACCATAACAGAATGCATCAAAAGAAAGAAATTGACTAGAATGAACACCATTAGCCACATTCAAACCATAATCAACCAAATCAGCAATATTGTACCTATGTAAAGGCTTAAAATAAAAAATGGGTGACGTAGGATGCGTACAACTTCTTAAATAACAATCGAAGGTAAGAAAAGAAAGGGGGTCTTAAAACAGAAGAATTAAGGGCAAGAGGAAAATCAATCCTTATTTATATAATCAGGTTGTCAATTACAATGAATAAGCCTCTTTAATTATAGAGTAAACAAACTAAAAAGAAGTTAAAGTCAAACGCACTTCTACTAAGTTAGAATTTGTCAAATAAACTTCAAATAGGATTCTAAAATAGCATTTCAAATATAATTTTTTTTAAGTCGACTTTAATTAGAATTCTCAATTCTAACGTGTATCTGTTTCGCTACATAACAGCTTCCATTATCTTGTATGTGCTCCTCAGGCAGCTTTTTCAGGTAATTAATATCCAGTAAAGGCTTAATACTTGTTTGGCGTGTAGGATGGAGATGAGTCAAATTTCTTTACGGATTCGGCCTTTTCTCGTCTACCTCATTACCACTACTAGACTTCAAATCATAACATAGGGGTATCATCTCATTGATGAATTCTGACCAATTATCTTTCAAGAGACGAAATCTTTTCGTTATCGAAACTTTGTAAAGAAAGATATCACAGGTATAGATCATTGTGTGTAATTCTCCTTGTTGAAGGAGATATAATTCTGTATTATAAATATAGCTTTTACATGTATATAGAAGGAAACTGTAACGCCCCAAAAATTCANGCCTGTAGCCATGCTAAAGTCCAATTGGATTTTCCTTGCAATAACTGCTTACCATACTAGGTGTAACGCCCCAAAAATTCAAGCATCTTGAGGTGTTACCAAACAAAATTTTCATGTACTTAAATGCGGAACTGTAAAATTATATTTTTCTAAATAAATAGAACATTCATAACTTTAAATAAGAATCATAATATCGTGTCTTTGAAACGATTTAAATATTCTTAACTAACAAATTTGCTAAAAATATTATTGGAACAAAACAAACTAAAAATTTTAAATAAAAGCAGTAAAACCTAATGTTATTCTCATCGGTCGAAATCCTTTGGCAGCCCGCATCACCGTCCCGCCACAGCTCCAATCGACCCGAACTAGTCAGTAAAAATTGTAAGAGTGAGTATTTTGAAAACACTCAGTAAGATACGAGCAGTATCCATTA